TGTAATTTTGGGAACTTGCATTTTGGTCCCATGTAACACTTGGGTTATATTAGGTTTGAGGTACCTAGAAATGAAATTTTTATGGAAAAGGCCTACTGTTTTATTTTCTTTACACTTTGGACCTATGGCATGTTCGTTTAGTTTATTGTTAGATTTACATTTTTGCATGCCTATCTTTATTTTATTTTATTTTGATCCTTCATGGTAATTTTGAATATGAAATCGAATTATTAATAGTATGTTTTATTGTTAATTCTAATGTATGTCAATGTCGTTGTATGCATGTATGTACCATATCACCATACTTTATTTTAGGCTTAAGTCCATTATATTTATGTTTGTTTTTCTTTAAGTATTTGTTTTAATTCTTAATTAGTACGTTTAATTTTATGTGTATTTGAATTTAGTCATTACATTTATGTATATATATATACTTTTTTTTAATTATAGTTTAGCTTGCTATGATTTTGCTTTTATATTTAGGTCACGTGTATACCTAAGATGTTAATATGCATGGTTTATGATTTTTATTTAAAATATGTGTACATTTTTTTTATGTTACGTTGTATGATATTTTTAATATTTTGTAATTAATTTTGGCATGACATCATTTTTGCATAATTTGTATGATAGCCTCACTTGCATAACTAGACATATTCATAATTGAATTAAGAGTAATACACTTTTAATTTAAAATTGTTTTAAGTGGGCAGTCATAACTGATTTTAGGTCCACTTTTAATGACTTTAAAATAAAAGTGTATCCCGAAAGTGAAACAAAAAAAAAATTTGATTCATCACCTAAAATTTGGGAACGAGAGAAAAGGAAATGTTCGTTTATTTAAATTTATCGAGAAAAGATTGTTATAACTTTTAAGATCTGGTCTCGATATTTTTAAATAATCGAACATTATTTATCTTTCTAAAACGACTTGATAATTTTAATTTAATTTATTTGGGTGCTTTTGAATGTTTTTAAATTTACATCTTTGTTTTATGGGATCAAAAAATCAAATTAAGTTCGAATTTGTAAAGTTCATTGCAAAGACTTTAATTAATCGACGAGGTACCGATTTAGGGCGCTGTGGGGGTGCTAATCATTCCCCACACGTAACCGACTCCCGAACTCATTTTTGGTAACGCAGACCTCAATTTGTTGTTTTAATTAAAATTATTTTTTATTTAAAATGACAAAACATTTTTGGGTGCCCAATCACACCCTAATCAAAGATTGGTGACAACTCTTTGAACTGTATTTTTTTTCGATCGTAAAGAAAATCTAAAATTTTTCGAAACGAGAAGTCTTTTAAACCGCATTTGTTTTTTAAATCAAAAATCATTTGAAAGAGGATAATTAAGAATTCATGTGGTCTTTAAAATCTCACTTTTTTAAATTTAAGAAAAAAATCGTTTCGACATAAACCATTTTGAGCACGAGAATAAAACCGATGACCAACATCAATGCCTGCCCTTACAATAAAGACACCTTAAGAGAATAGTTTCTTAAACTCCAAAAACGAGGTTTTTGAAATGACCATAAGAGTATGTATTAACCAACTAACACCAGCATCAAAATATAAGCTTCTCCAACTAACCTAGAAGGCAGCCTATCCTTTTCTCGGGATAAAGCACCTCATTGTTCCCTATCATCTGCAATGTTTATTTTTAAATATTGAAAGAATATTAGGCTACATAACATCAAAATAGGTAGTAACACCACGATCACATACTTTTAGCAAAACAAAAATAAATAAAAGAAGAAACATAACCAATAAAATTTTATAGCATTATTATAAACTCATAATCATTACAATTAACTCAACAAAGTTCCAATGTACAGACCATAAATAGCCACCAATATATTGAGGGTAAAATATAAATAAGACTAGCATGTTATTCTTGCAAGGAGCTGTGAGAAAACCCTTTGTTAGATTAAATATTGCATATGAATCCATCTACCAATATGATTTAAATCAATGTAAGAAAGGAGAAAATATGCAAGCCAAATCTCTACAAGTTTACCCTTGGTTAGGTCAAAATAAAAGATATGATGGATACTTAAATTTTATAATCAGAATAAAAAAGAACAGAAAGCTGAGATGCTGTAAACAGACAGGGCATCTACACTGACTTGCCTTTGATATTGCTTTCAGGTCAGGTCACTTGGTCTTTCCCTTGACATCAACCTCAGGTACATCTCCTTTCTGCATATATTTGAGCATTAACAATGAAACTCAAAAACAACATGTGCGTGTGTGGGGATGCAAACGTGGAAGAACTAATCCACATTTCCATATCAGTTGCAGACAGGTTGAAGGAGCAACGCATAAAAATTATGTACCTTCGCATTTTTGCCCTTCTGGGGTTTCTTGTTAACTTTGACTGCAGCACACCTCATTTCCTCTTCCTAAGGGACCAGTCATAAAAGAATTGTATAAGCAAAAACTATGCTAAACTTATATGAAATTATGAACAACAAGAAAACAAAGCATATTGTATAATCAAACCAGGATAGTGGATTTCCAACCCAAATTGAAAGCAACAACATGATGCCCGGAATAAAAACAGACCTGAACAAAGTGAAGGTAATGCTTGTTGAACAACCTCAAAGTTTCCTTCAACTTAATATGTACACTCTTCTCAACAACATTTGGAGTTTTGATAGCGCTAGTAGGTTCTAGTCCCTCTGCAATTTTGGCAGCTAGTTGCACCATTTTGGCTACTTTATTAGTCATGTTGGGTTCACTCCCAGGAAGCTGTTGGGTACCATTTTGATTTAGGTTTAGGCTTTCTGTGTTCAGTTTGGGTTCAGTCTGATATGATGAAATCTCAGGAATACCATTTAGATTTATGTTTGGATTTTCCATAATCTTAATGACCTTTTTTCTGCAACTTGATCCGTTTTCAGCCAGGAGGTCCACTTCCCGCTTTACCAGAAGCTCCATGTCAGCTTTTCTTTGGCAGCTTGAAGTCTGGCACTAGCTCTCCTTTGTCCAGAGACGTTGTCCTTGGGCGAGGAACCTTTCTCGAACTGGATCTTGAGTCTTTTGCTAGGGTTATCGGGTGATAGGACGGAAGTGTCAACGGAGGGCAAGGACTGAACTACCATCTCGTAAATGGAAGGGAGGAAAGTTGGGTGTAGGATACGAAACGACTCGAGAGAAGGGAATGGTAGTGACTCAGTGAGTTAGAAGATATAGCTAACTCAGAGTACGGAAGGACGTGCAATGATGGGGAGCAAGGAATCTTCTAGTAAAAATATAAAAGGGAGGGAACATTTCGTGTTTCGTTTTTGGAGGGAATGCAAGGGGGGATGTTTTCCAATTTTTATAATCTAACCAAATCTTGGTCAAATGGACCCGCCCAACTTAATTATTTCATCTGCATAAACCAACATGTAGGTGAAAACTCCTAATTATTTAGGTAACCATTTAACCTAACTTTTAGTTTATAATATAAATATTAATACTTAATTTATTAATAGATTAATCTAAATTAAATAATATAAAAATAACTTTCCATTCTTAAATATTACAATTCAAACATCCCAGCGTAGACCATCATTTGTCTAAAGTGTGCACTTGTATGTCTTGAAATTTGAATTTTTTTACTAGTTACTTATTGTATTGATTTGGTCCACTCTGGAGTTTTATTTGTTCTCTCTCCATAAATAAATTTTGTGCTATTAATGTAGTATGTTCACCTTAAAAGATATTTCTAAATCTGTCAATGTAAACATATGACGTTATTTAAAGAATTTAATATTTCATCCCATTAAACTAAATTATTCTTAATCATTGAACCTAATTTTAATCAAATAGTTGAGAAGTTTTGAGTATTAACTTTCAGGTGTTTTGAGTATCAATCCTAGCTCAACGGATTTTAATCTAATCTAATCAAATTATTTTTTATAATTTATATTTAGGTCGGCTTAATTTTTTCTGAAAGATTTGCTCAGATCGAGTTTGGCTTTAGAGTGAAAAAATTGACTCGATATGAGATAATATTATATTTTTTATATATATTTAAGGATAATTATAATAATATTTCTCTATTATTTCAATTAAATTATTAGTTTATCAAATAAAAATAAATTATGTATATTGGAATTGGATCAAATCGTCAAATGTGAATTTTGATCTTAAAAATTAAGATTGATTCCTCCTAAACATGATCAAATTAAATATATATATATATATATATATATATATATATATATATATATATATTAAGGGTGAACTATGCCAATTACCCCTTTATTTTTGGTCTGACCGACTTTAGTCACCGGTTTTTTAATTAAGTATGTTTGGTCTCTTATGTTATCGGTTATTTCGGTTTAAGTCTCTTAACCGTTAACTTCAGTTAACCCATTAACGAATGTCTAAGTTGGCAATTAAAAAAAAAACTTATGTTTCTTCCTTTCTTTTTGGCCTATTGTTGGTAATGATGTCTCTCTTTATCTTAATCTCGTTAATGACCAATGTGATTTTGAGCATGTTAATCAAACTATCATAGTACTCATCCCAAAATTTGAAAATTCTCGGTTAATGAAAAACTTTCAACCGATTAGTTTAAGCTTGATCATATACGAGGTGATGTCTACAGCTTTAGTTAATCGTCTTAAACGCCTATGCCTTGTTGTATTTCGAAAAACCAATGTGCATTTGTTCCGGGTCAACTAATCTCTAATAACTTCCTTGTGGCACATGAGTTTCTATACTATCTAAAAGATTTGAAAAACGACTCAAATAAAGGGTTGCTCTAAACTTGACATGGAAAAGTCTATGATAAAGTGGAATAAAATTTTATATCGAGTGTCATGGAAAAATAGGAGTTTGACAAAGATTTATTCACCTCATTATGAAATGTATCACATCTGTTTTTTATTTCATTTGTATCAATTGATAGCTTTCGAGTACCTTCAAACCGGGAATGGGACTTAGACAAGGTGACCCCCCTCTCCTCATATCTTTTTTTTTTTTTTGCTCATAGGGCCTATCAATGGCGCTTCTAGGAGAACAACGTAGTGGAAATATCAAAGGTGTCCGTGCTAGTAGGAGAGGTCCAAGAGTTACCCATTTGTTTATATGAATCTTCTTCAGGACAGAAAATCAATTACGACAAATCTCTTATCTACTTTAGCCCTAACACAAAGCAGGAAGATCGTAGGCTTATTCGTGAAGTCTTTAATGTATATGAGAAAGATAACCCGAGTGTCTATCTTGGACTCCCTCTCTTGGTGAGGAGAAGTAAAATAGGAGCGTTCAGGTTTATTAGAGACAAGGTTGACAAACGAATCAATGGACTGACGAAGAATATTCTCTCATTTGCAGGACGCGAGGTTTTTCTCAAGTTGGTTACCCAAGCACTTCCTACTTATGTCATGTCATGTTGTCTTCTTCCGGATGGGGTGATTGAAGGGATCATGACATGTATAAGAGCTTATTGGTGGTCGGGGAAACGTGCTTCTAGAGGATAGGCTCACATTGCTTAGGACAAAGTGTGTCGAGCTAAGATAGATGGAGGTACGGGGTTTAGAGATCTTAAATTATTCAACATTACCCTTCTCAATAATCAAGTCTGGCTGTTTGTTCACAACATTGGGTTGCTCCTCTTCTAAGTCTTCAAGGCGAAGTATTTTTCTCACTCGTACTTCTTTGACGCCAAAGCTGGGGAGAAGACCTCATACGCTTGGACAAGCATCTTTAAACCAAAGAATCACTCAAAGATAGTTTCTTTTGGAGAATCGAAAAACAATGGGGAGACTCGAATGCATGTCGACCGTTGGGGTGCTAAACCGGTTAGTTTCTCATCAACTTATCTGGACGGTCCATCATCCCCCTCATTTGCAGAGATTTCATGTTAGAAGGGCAAGCTAAAGGGATGCAACCGAGGTCAAATCATTTTTCATAAATGATAAGGATACGGGGGCGATACTTCGCCAATATGGATAACCTTATCTTCACTTCCAACACTACCCAAAATCTGATAAGGATATTCTTATTTGGAAGCACCACAACATATGTTGTTTTCAGAAGTTGGGTTATAATTGACTTTTAATTAAGACGGGTACGGATCGCCGTATTTCATCGATATGGAGAACCGTATCTTCACTTCCAACACTACCCAAAATCTGCATTTTTGGATGTAGAATATGTCACAACGCCCTACCAACTGGTGAAAAGGTTGCTGCTGCGAATTTAGAAGACGATTTATGCCCTATTTGTATGATAGAAAAGGAAACAGTGTTGCATGCTCTTAAAGATTGCACAAAGACACGAACTATCATTTCCCTTTCAGGTCTACAAAATGCCATCGTTCTTGATGTTACTTTGAAATATTTGGAATCAGGCGGATACATAAATTAAAAAATATGGTCTAATTTTTAAAAAAAAAATAACGAGTATACAAAAATTGTAATATTTTTTTTTCTTTAACACATTAAATTAAATTTAACCATATTTCTAAAATAATGGGATCCACTTAACCCCTACTGTTTGGAATTGGAGGAATAAATGGGTGCATGACAAAGTGTTGCAAGCTGATCAGGAGATGATAAATGCGATTTGGGTTCTTGCGTCGAACTTTAAGGAAGCATCTGTCAGTCATGATAAGTTTTGGATCTTCGACTGTTGCTCCAAGATCCTCGTGACAACGACCTCAACCAGGTAGATTTAAAATTAACGTCGCTGGCGCATGGCTATTGGTGTTGTCGCTCATGATCACCATGGAACGGTAGTAGGGGGAACCGGGGAATGACACGAAAGCTTGAGTCCCTTCACACTCCGTAATAAACAGAAGCAATGACTTTTATTCATGGCCTCCGACTGGGTATTAAAAATGGCTGGGAGCATGCCATTCTCGAAGGAGACACAATTTCTATTGTCAACCGCCTCACTAACCGACAAGAATACATCTATGTTTTCGAATTATTACTCAAAGAAGCGCACAATATCCTAGCACATTGAAGATACTCATTTTTTTCATTTAAATATTATTTATATTATTATTATAATAATAATAATTATTATTATTATTATTTTATTATTAAAAAAATATTATTACAGGCCCAAATTACAAACCAGATCGGAGGCCCAATTACAACCCATACTGGCCCAGACCCAACTTGGTCCAGGCCCAGTTACAAACAGAAACCCTAAACTGATTAGGGTTTTATCTTTTTCAGCCGCCAGCATCAATTTCAGCCGTTGGATCTGGTTTGATCCAACGGTCCACAGCTTGCCAGAGGAAACCCTAGGGTATCATCACCCTAGGGCCACGTCGTTGCTTCCCTTACTGTTGCCACCCCGCCGCCTCAGGAAGCTGCTGCCACCGCTTCAACAGAACGCTCCAGAAGATCCAGCTGCCCCCCACACGTCGCGGCTATGGGGTGAGTCACCACATAGCTCGGTGACTCACCGAACTCCACCCTTAGGACAGGTCCGAGACAAGCGCCAGTGATGGCTATAAAGCCATCACCCAACCTGCAAAGAAAGACGGACAACCAGCAAAAATAGAGAACAAAAAAAGGGACAGAAAGCAAATCACTAAAACAGCAAGGAAAGGAACGAGAGAAACTTACCGTGGAAGACAACGCCTTGATGGGAGTCACCACCGGCCTCCAAACGTCACCAAAAACCTTCGAAAACCGAAGGTATTTTCTTAGATTTGCTCCGATCGGGAGCTATTTAAAAGAAAGGAACACAGGAACCGTCATTAGGACGGTCTGATCTACATTGTGGTGTAAAAATAAATTTTTCCGCGGTGGCCGGTGGTGGGAATTACGGCGGCAGACGGCTGCCGTCCGGTAGCCGGCTCCCCTCCGATGAGGGAAGCTAGAGAGAGGGGAGAGCATTTCATTCTCTCTCAGTTAGAGAGAGAATGATAAATTGAGAAATGAGAGAGCTGGCCCCGAAGGGCCAGCCGTTTCGGGCTTTAAATAGCCCTTCCCGAACGACGTGGTTTTGGGGAGGGCTATTTGTGTAATTAACTAAAGGTTAAACCCTTTCCGCAGCCATCCTAACTTGTAATTCTTACATTTTAGTCACTGAATCAAATTTATAATCCTTTTAATTTGGTCTCTAAATTTTATTTATTTATATTTTAGCCCTTAACCGTATTTATAAATATTTTAGACAAAATACGTATTTAGTCCTTTAGTTTTAATAATTAATATTTTAATCCCGAAGTATATATTTTTAATTTATTTTATTTTGATATTCGAATTTTATATAATTTTATTTTAGTCACCAAATTAATAAATAAGGAAAATAGCATGTTTAATCCCTATAATTTTAAATAATGAATTAGGTATTTAATTTTATTAGATTATAATTTAGTCACTATTTTTAAATATTTTCATTTATTATAATGTTTTATTGCTTTTAAATATATAGTTCTAATTGTATTTTTATTATTGTTTATTTATGTTTTAATTTTACTTGTTTATATATTTAAATATTATTTTTATTATTATTATTATATAGTCATATATATATATATATATAATAAATAATAATTTATATTTTTTATATATTATTTTTATCATATTTTAATATTTATTTATTTTTCAATATCGAAGAAAAGGGCAGTCTTAATACAAATGGATGTCATATTCTGGTATTTTAAAATTAAATATTATAAAAAAATTATAATTTAATTTTATTTAAATTATTATATTGTTAATATTTATTAATATCGAAGAAAAGAGCTGTCTTAAGGCACCTAGAAGTCTTTTTCTGATATTTCTAAATAAATAAATATTTTATTTATAAATATATATAAATTAATATTTTTTCTCATAATTATAATTTTGAAATAATAGGATTATAAATTAAATATATTTTTGAATTTTTAAATTTCTAATAATAGAGACAATTTATAATTAAAAAGTACCAATTTTGGGCGTTGTAGGGGTGCTAATCCTTCCCTAAACATAACCGACCATGAATCCCTTTTTATCATTAAAAAGAATGAATTTTTGTTTAAAACGCAGATCAGTTTATCTTTTAATCGATGTTTTCTTAAAAACTCTTTTAAAGGATAATTTTTAGGTATTCGACCTACCTGACCCAAAAGGTCGATGGCGACTCCCAAATTATTTAAAAAAAAAACCATTTATTCCCATCACTTTTCCCGCCAAGTAAAAAATTTGTGCCCGGACGAAAACCGGTTACGACAGCTTGGCGACTCCGCTGGGGACCCTGGTCAAACTTTTAAAATCAATTATAAATTGTCTCTATTAATTATAAATTAAAATTCTTATATTTAATTTATAATTCTTTCTTTTCAAGTTTTTTTATACTTATTATTATAGTATTTATATTTCATTTTATTTACAAGTATTTTATTTCATTATTTATTTTTTCTGTCAGAGGTTTAAACATTTCTCCTCACACACAACACTTGCATTGCATAACATAAAGCTCTATAATTGAGTTTGTCCCTTTTAAGTGGGAGTGAAAGCGACGTCTTTGTGAGAATTTATTCTCCGTGTCAGACATAGAGAAGTGTATCCCCTCGAATTGAACTCGATCCACTTTAGTCTGTAATGGACTAGGATTGAGGGTTAACAGCCCAAGGGGGCACTAACAAGGACAATTCGGGTACCTTTATTCTTAGATTTGAAACCCTGCATATAATAAACCCTAGAAACTCTTCCGATCTAAAGCCATGCTGAAATTTTGTCCAAAAAAGGTGTACACACAGGAGAAATGAATTCTAATTTTCCTTTTAATTTATTTATTTATTTTCTTACTGATTAAATTGCATGTGAGTTTAAATTATTTAAATTATGAAGAAAGCATGTTTAAATAAGTATATTTAAGTAGACATTATTATTAATTTTTTTTCTTTATTATGTAAACTAATTCATTTCTTTTTATGTTTTCTTTATTTCTTCTGTTTGCATAGCATCATACAGGATAAAAGGCATTGATCTTCATGTTAATTGTCTCATTGGAAAGCCTTCATCCATGGATAAAAAGTGTTCAAATCAAATAGTTCTAAACTCAGAAGTAAGACAGTGGGCTGAGTACTTACAAAGACAAAGAGGAGACAGTCTGCAAGATGATTATGTATCTGATTTGGCAAGTTATGCTCCAGTTTCGCTAAAAAGAAATGATATGCAAGATTTGCGAAGCATTTGGGAAAGTTGGGACTCAAACAAAAAGTTGCAGTTTTAACAGACTTACGGAGACATCCCATATTTGCTCTATGTTGAAGTTGATGATGACTTACTTCGAGCCCTAATTCAATTATGGAATTCTGGGTACAATTGCTTCACTCTCAATAAAGAGGACTTGGTCCCTACTATTGAAGAGTACACAACTTTGTTACATATAGAAGGGGCTTTGGAGAATCGAATTTATTCAAAGTCAATTAAAACTCAACCCTTTCGAGTTAAATTAGCAAAGATTTCCGGGGTACGAGAAGAATGGGTGGCATCCCGTACAAAACAAAAGGGCGAAAGCGAAGGCA